CACTTCCATTTGGGTTCCCACCTCCATGAAAACAATGACTAATGGCTGATCCAAGGCCATCAGCTTTAGAAATGGAGAACATCTAGCCCTTTTTTGCATCTTGACAAAGGTGAGATTATAAAAGATGGTTCCCTTTATTTGGTACAGTCATCATACTGTGCTCAGTTACGGGCCCTGCACTTTAAGAAATACAGATAAACAAATTACAATAGATTTAAAAGAGGGCAGTGAAGATACTCAGAAATAAGATAAAGAAATCCTATGAGAAATACAAAGAAGTGGGTTTAGCCATGATGACATAATATTCTTCAAATACCTCTCAGACTTCTGCACAAAAGAGAAACATTTCTTCACTGCAGCTCCAGAGAGAAGAACTAGATTTTATGGGCTTAGATTCACGAAGATAGATTTCGGAAAAATATTAAAATATTTTACTGTTAAAATAATTTGATGTGGAAAAAAGTAGAATTATTCTGCTCCACTGGAGGTCCCTAAACAAGACTACAGGCATAGCTATCTACCGCTATAGATCTTAATATTTTATCTTGAGAAGAGGTTTACATTAATTGGTATATAAGCCCCCTTCAGATTCTGTGATACATTGAGAAGTACCTTAACTCTTTTAGTCAGAGATGTGGGCTTTCCAAAGCATGCAATTTTCTGGGGTCAAAATTTTCCATTTTGGGTAAGTTTGGCAGTTTGAACATTGTGTGATGTTTGCTTTTCATGATTGTTCGAACAAAACTGAAAACCTAAAAGAACACTGCAGTTCCATACAGTATTATAACATTACCTATTGCCCAACCTTTCAGTAAAGTATTTTTTTCCATACACCAAGCTTTTAATTTCTTTCAAGGTATTATTCAAATCACAAAAATAGGCTACATTTTTCACATCAAATTTGTATAGACTATGGATCCTGAGATTAATATGATTAGAATCATACTCATTTGCATAAGAAAATTTGCAGGAAAACCCACATTTCTGCTTCTTATAATAATTATTTCTCCCTATAAAACTATTTAAGTATTAATATGCACATCCATTTCAAAATCCTGTAAGGTACCGTATTGGCACTAAAGCACTTATGACAAAGCACACTGAGGCAAATTATAGTCAGATAAGTCACCTAACGCCAATGCTATTTATCATATATTTAACAGTAATAATACATTAGGCATTACACAAAATACAAAAGCAGAACAATCTCCACTGAGAAAGAGCACAACCAAACAGCATATCAGAAGAGCGTTACTTTTTAGAACCAGATTCAACTGAGCCAATCTGCATGTAACAGAGTTTTCAGTCCTACATGTTCACAAAACTGATAAGGAAAGGACTTGAATGTAACAAAATACCAGGTGAAAACAGTGGTAATCTCTGGGAGAACAACAACTGCTTTTTCTACTTTGTCACATGTAACAGTGATAGCATAAAACACAGGCATAAGCCATATGGACAGTATAACCAAAGAAGAATGAACATAACAGGATCAATTAATCAGGAATAAGAACAGGAATTTGTTCAAGGTATATATTTACTTATGAAGTGCTCAACAATCTTGAGGATTTTCACTATTCTCAACTATAATCACCAGTATATCAACTACCTGAATTTTATTTTAAAACCAAGCAAAAATGTAAATCCAAAAATAACACAATAGAAAGAAAAACAACTACCACAGGAAACAGCTTTTGCAGAATACCGATGGAGAAAAAGTTGGGCATGCACACTGGTTCTCTTTTTTCAAGAACTATTTTCTAGACTTTGTTACATACATTTAGAAATCATAGGTGGCTATTATTATCTCCAAAATGCCTACAAATTTGTTATCCATAAATCATAAATAAAACATAGGCTCTACTTTAGGATTTACAATTTAAGCAAGGCAAACAAGGAAAGGGGAATGGAGAGAAAATGCAGATGCATGCGTGCGTGGACTCAAGCTATCTAACACTAAAATACACCAAGAAAGCCATCAAGTTACATCATATTATAGATATCACAACTATCAGTCACAGAATAGTGGGAATAAATGAAGAATAGAATTAACAATCTGCTTGAAAGGAAGAAAAGTAGGCCTACCAAGAAAAGTGGAAAAAAATAGGAAGAAGCATTTAATGTAATTGGTTTTAAAAAATTAGAATTCACCTACAAAGGGATTTTAAAAAGAGGAAACATATGTAACAAAACCAGGTTAAATAAAAATAATACTGTAAACTGAAGATATTTGCAGTAATTCAATAGGGTAAAAGAATGAGGAAATGGCTTGAGTTATTAACTCAAGCATACCTAATAAACTTTTCTTGAGAGCTTGGATTTCACTTACTTGAGAGCAATATTGGCACATTTGAGTGTTCAGTATTTGATACTCATGACAATTTCATTCCATTTCAATCATATGTTACAAGTGCCTAGCAGAGCTGCTTGATATGTATAAAAGATAGAATAGTCTAAGATCCTTTGCATCCAGGAACAGGGTAATCAAATCCTATTCTCAATCCTTCAGCAGTTTACTTTCTGTCAAGGGTCATTCCCTTGTCCAACTGTCATATTAGCTGGATAGAACAGTTTTTCTCTAAGACAATGCACTGGGGGTTCACATTTTCAGAAAGCATCAGGACAATAGCGCATTGAGGAAGACTGATGTAGTGATGGGATTAAGGACCTGAATATTTTAATCTAGCATTTAACCACATGACTGATGACTCTTTGCTCCATAGCAGCTGACTTTTTATTTTAATCAAACTAGTAATTTCCAGCCCTGCTGTTGTAGGATACCCTGATCACACAAATGCCAATCTCAGACTCAGCATGCATCACTTTTAACACCCAAAACAGAGGTCAGTGAAGAATTTAGTATGCTGTAAAACCGGCCTTTACACTTTGTGAATGTCATCAATGTTTAGATACACAAAATCAACAAAACCAGCAAAAAAAAAACCTGACCAGCCAGAATGTTCCCTAATTTCAAAAGTTCCAAACAGGTCCTGGGGCTACTATTTTGACAAGGGAAATGGTGCTTCTTTCACACCGTTTCCCTAATTATAGCTGTGAATATTAGCCTAGCTGTTTGCTCCACGAGGGGAAAAAAAGGATAGGCACCTTATGCCTGACTCCCTCGTTTTTACTAACCTACCAGACCATTCAACTCCCTTGTCATCTAAAGGTGTGGCTGACTTACCACTTCAGTCCACCTCTACATCTAAACACATACTAGGTGCCGTGTTGCCCAACGACGAAAGGAAATAACCTGCTTGAGCGTCATGCCACTTGATCTGCTCCCCGTCGAAGATAAACAAGGGCCAACCAAGGAAACGTATCCAACTGTTGAGACTCAAAAGCACTCTGCTCATGCTCAGAGGACACACTTTTAATTTAATGGCAGGGCACCAAAGCGATACTCGCGAATTGCGGAGAGATCGCGCCGGACGCTGCCTAACTCTCTTCTGCTCCGATGGGAAATTCGGTTTCTCAGAATGAGGACGCACCGCTTTGCATCACGAGCCTTGGCGGCGGCGCCGCCGCCGCTCCCGGTCCCCGTCAGTGCCCCAAGCGGGGCCCCTCGACCTGGCCGGGAAGGTCACTCCCTGCCCTCACCTTGTGGGTATTGTTGCCAAGCGCCTCCTTGCCGAAGCCCTCGTCTCGCGGGCCGCATCCAGTCTCCAGCGCAGCCCCGCCGCGTAACCCGCGCCGGATCCGCAAAGCCTTCGCCCCGAACCGGACCTCTCGGCCATGGAGCGGAGCCGCCAGGAGCAGGAGGAGCCCTGCGCGCACCAAGGTCGGCGGCAGCAGCATTTCCATTCACAGTCCCTACCACCAAACTCGGCTCCGCGCTCGGGGAACTGCTCACCTGCCGCCCGAGCCACGAACGCCTCATTGGGCTGCGCCAAACAGGTATGCTAAAGGCATTGGCTGCAACGCACGTCAATGTGCCCGTCTTTCAGCCACCGGCCAACCTCTCCCGAAGCTTCTTTCCCATTCGCGCAGCTGCCCCGCTTCTGTTTTTTAAGTGGCTCACTGAGCTGCCAATCTCGGCACAGCGAGAGCTTCATTCCACCTGCCAGCGGCCATTGGCTACTCCTGTGACCAGCCTCCTCCCTTTAAATGATCGGGCTGGTCAATATCACCCCACTTTGAAGAGCGCTTTGCTCATTGGCTGATTGCCTGCAAGCGTTTCCCCCCTTCAGATTCTCCGAAAACTGTAATTTCAGGCTCCTCAAGACTTTACTCCGGTTGCTAGGAAACGAAGCCAACAAGTTTTGTTTTTTTGTTTTTGTTTTGAAGGGTAGCCATTAGAGTCGGTTTTTATCCATTGTGTGAGGTCGGACCGAATGGTAGGAGGGGACACTGTCTCCTATAAAGCGTTTTCCTCTCATTGGCAAAATAGGGGTTAAAAGCTGGCCAAAATAGGAATTCTCCTTACAGTACTACGAATGTTCCTCGGTTATTTCTGCGGTCTTTAGAGAATCGTTTAATATATGGCAATATTGTTATTAGGGGGTAGCTTTGCTGGATGCAGAAATTAAGCAGGGTCAATACTGGTAAGTAGGTGGATGGGAAACCTCCAGGAAGCTCTAAACTACACAAGAAATCGAGGTGGTTGGGTGGAATCCCTGAAGAAGGCAATGATAAACCACTTCTGTACGTGGGCATGTCCATGAAGTCACCAGGAGTTATATTCAACTCATGCTGGTATATAGTTTGTATGCACCACATTATGTGGTTTTGGGGTAAGAAATAATTATGGAGAAGACACAAAATGAATACTAGTATGCAAAAGTAATTAAAAACAAATAAGCTAAAACAAAATCTAACTAAATCTAGTTTCCATCAATACAGTTTGTTACACATCTCCGCACTTTTCCACCACCACCATACACTAATTTATAGCCTTTTGTATTTTAAACTTTTCATCTTTTCATCAATTTCTCACTTCTCTTCCTCTAGACCAGTGTTTCTCAACCTCAGCAATTTTAAGAAGTGTGGACATCAACTTCCAAAATGCCCCAGCCGGCGTGCTGGCTGGGGAATTCTAGGAGTTGACATCCACACTTCTTAAAATTGCTGAGGTTGAGAAACACTGGTCTAGACCCATTCACTCTTCGTTCATATACTTGTTTCACAAACCAATCCTCATTCATCTTCTCTGATTGAACCATGTCAACCTTCTTTGGTACTGGTCATTTTGTTGCATTCTATCCACGTTCATTCAGAATCCAATCAGTTTTCACCATATCTCTTGTTTTGCTAATACACCTCTTAAGGACTTAAATTTATATACCAGCTGGAGCTCATAAACTTGTTTTGAGTACTCTAAATAACAGTTTGATTGGCTCAAGTCCTTGTTCACTTCAGATTATCAGCATGCTTAATGCCGTTTTATGTTACCAAGAAAGAAGGCCAGGCTCTTACTCTTGGTTGTGACCTAAGATGTGCAGCAATTGTCACAGATTAATGCAAAGAACTCTGTAATTTGTCTCTACAATTTACATGTTGTTTCAGATATAATGTCTGAAACCTTTCTCTTCTTCTGTCTCATGCTTACTTCCTCCTTTGCTTAACAAGTGGCCTGAGATATTCTGAGAACTCAGAAGGTTTTTGTTAATTTTGAATACCAAATAAAAATCTGGGACATTTTCTTCTGCAGCAAATATTGCTTCTTTTGCTTTTTAAGGACCCTACATATCAGATGTAATAAATAGAAAGCTTGCCACAGTCCATGATCCTGCTGATATTTAAACAGTTCATCTTTATTCTGTCTTTTAAAGTCTTATTATTATAGTCCCAAGAAAAGCAAATAGCTTTTCTCTGAGGATTTGGACAAATACTACTCTTCTCCATGAGAGAAAAATATTGAGAATCATCGACATACCAGATCAATGAGATATTAATTACTTGGTTGGTCTGCACTCCGCATTGCTTTGAAAGTGCACCCTGTAAGATCAGAAGTTATGATATTAGCTAACTGACAAGTGAAGTATTTATGTTTTTCCTGCAAAACTGAAATCTTTTTCCTCTAAAAAAAGGTATGATTCATTATGGGCTGCTGCTTAGAATTTACATACATCCCTTAGTGCTAAGCTACATACAAAAGCGTACTGTATCAAAATGTAAGCAGCCATTGGAAAAGACCTACTAAAAAAAAGAGATGATAATATTACCCTCCAAATGTAGTAATAGATTTTTTTCCTGCACTAATGATTAATGCTAAAATACATCTCACATAATGATCTGCATAACCAGTATCTGCCCTTTAGCACAATAGGGTTGCTAAATTCTGTCATATGTACACATACTTTATAATCTAAACCTAGTTAAGAATTTTTTTCTCCTATTAAGGTGACAAATTATGGGCTAGTTTAAATCTGCAGAAAAAAAGGAGCCTATAGCTGCAATCCTACACACACTTTACTTAGAGAAAAGTCCCTCGGAGCTTAACAGTTGGGATTGCACAATGTGAATGAATTGCACAAAATGAACGGTATGCATGCTCACACCTTATTCAGACTAAAGGCAAATTAAAGGTTACATCCAAAATAAAAATGTATTAAGACTCAATGGTACATACCTGAAGAGATTATAAATCTTCAAACTGAAAAAAAGATAATTACACAAATGAGAGACCTAATGAAATGCTTATCACTGAACCAATTGCTAAAGTATACTGTCATCTTTTTAAGATGAAAGCTGAGTATATACAAATATTATTCTGAAAAACTGGAGTTTACAATAATTCTTTATTAACATTCTTAAGGGAAAGGGTATGTTGCTATCCTACATCAATGCTATACAGTATATGAGAAAAGTAGATGCAGCCCCAATGTTACTGTATTTTTTTAGACCAACTTGGGGATCCTAGTGAATTAGCAGGATAGAAAATCAAACAAAAGAAAAAAAGGTCAGCCCGAAAGTCACAAGGGGCCAAGTTGTTTAATTATAGGTTATTCACAAATAGAAGATCAGGATTACATAACCAGTTTAGCAAGTTAGTAATGTTTTTATGAGTATGATTGTGTACTTGGAACAATAATGAGCATGCAAAGGTGAACAGGAAACTAAGCATATAGCTAAGAAATTGCAGCATGAAATTTAGCAGGGGAGGGTGGGAAAAAAGAAGACAACAATGTCATGCAACCAGAACCACAAGTTGTAGCAATCATGTATACAGTAGGAATCATGGGGGGAAAAGGCAAGGTATTACAGCAGAGTTAGGAGTAAGAAAAAAAATTCTAATAAACTAGAATAATAAAGCAAGCCACAACTTGGTGTCCTCTAAATGTTTTGGACTTCAACTTCCATAATTCTCATCCACTGTAGAGCCCTACTTGGGCCATTAAACCAAATGAACTGCAGGCTACTATGTACCCCTAATCTAAAAAATCAACTTTGCAAATGGTCAACCTACAAATATTCAAATTTGTAACAGTCAAACTTTAAGCAAGTTTTTTCCAAGTTGGCATGCTGTGGAGGTATTGGGACTGCTATTTGGTTATGTTGGGTGGGAATTTTGAAACTTGCAATGTGCAATTCCAACATATCTAGAGGTCGCCAGATTAGGGAATGCTGCCCTATGCACATTAACTTGGACTCTTGTATCACAACTTCAAATTGTATATTTGACTTAAGATCTGGTTAATTAACCAGGATAATTTGATATAGCAAAGCTTCCTCATGCATTTCAGAATATATGCAGTGGTAATGGCTACTGATATTTAAACAAAAGTCTAATTAATTTTTCTATGCCATTATATATAGGCATGCCAAGTAATGTTTTGCATTTAATGAAGTAATTAACAATTTAAGTGTCCAAATTCAGACAAATAATTGGGACAATTGTAAACTTAAGAATAATTTTGGTAGATGAGGGATCCCCCCCCCCCAATGCTCCTCCATCCATTCTTGGCAGTAAATTCAAACAATAACACAATAATTGCTGCTATTCAGAAACCTCCTCAATATTTAGTGCCATTCAGCTTTCTTGTACTAATGGATGCGCAATGGAAACATTTTAAATAGCTGTCCTTTTACAAAGGCCATCAAGAAAAAAGGTGATATTATCCAAAAGATAAATTCATCCAAGGTATTCCATAAGTTCTGCCCACAACTTACAAAAGAGTCAACCACAGATCTGATATCTGAATGAATTTGTGGATATTTTAAGTTGAACATAGGCTAAAGCAGTGATCAATCCACCTATCAGATTAAAATGATTTGTATAAAACAGAAAGAAAACTTTGAATTATGAAATGTGCATGCCCAAATAGAAATAAGAGGTATTAAATAATTAAATAGCCTCCAAATTGCTATCTGTATTTTGCTTAAGATATTGAAAAGATTGGCAGATAATGATATATTTGAGCATAGTCCACTTATTTAGGCCTTAGTGTGTTCTATGATATGCTAAGTTTATAAACCATGTTTATAGATTAAACCATGATCTGAGGTTTTAAGCCATAATTTATGGTTATATTGTGCAAAGCCAGCAAATTGTACTTTGTTCAATAAATCAAAGTTAAATGAACAATCACTACATGCAATGTACAAACCTAACCATTATCTCAGCATCTGCTATGGCCACCAATACTTAATTCATTAAATAAATTGTGAAAAGAGGCACCATATCCTTTTAAAAAGTCTCTATTCCATTAGGACTAGAGCATGATATGGATCCAGCAGGTAGTAGAAGTAATATACCTATTACTGGATAATAAATGGGGTAGCTAAATGACCAGTAATTTTGTTGGGAAAACAAAGAACAACTTCACTGAATCATGCAGCATACATAATTTGATCCACATGAAAAATTACAAAGTCCAATCTTCCTGAAATGGTAAACAGGCAAGGACATACTGCAGAGGGTAGCAAACTTCCACAAAATATATTTGACGTGAAGAAGATT